CGGTTTTTTGGAAATAACCTTTGACACCGAGGTCACAACCAAATAATTTTCAATTCATAAAATTTATCACAAAATTCCGGATTTCTTATATAAATATGAATGAAATCAAAAATTGTCTTCATGTGGTTTTCTTAGAAAAACCAGGCTCTTCTATTTAGAGACTGACTGTATAAGTATGATTTGCATAAAAAGTATGAAAAAATTTGCATGTTTAAAATTATATTCCTTGTATAAAATTTTGGTTATTACTGACATGGACAAATCATGTACCAAACAAAACCCTAACTATCCAGCTACAATTTAGTAAATAAATGAATAAAATAAACAAGTTAGTATTAAAATAAATTAAAATCAAAGTAGGGTTGCCATATTTTAGCCACCCTGTATAACCATAATAGTATTAGTCTGTGGTATTTAAAATAATAATAATTAATTAGTATGGAATATTTTAAAAATAAATATATTAAATTGATCATCATAAAAACATTTTAATCATATGAATAACACTAAATTATATGCAATTAGTTTGAAAAAATATTTTGCCTCAAAACAAATACACGAAAATAGCTAATGAAAATGATTATAAACTTTTTAATGTCTAGACTGGCATTGAATATATTTTATGGGCTACCTGTGCTCTGTGTGTATGTAAAACTATAGTAATCCATACCAAAGTCAAGTGCGTTTGATAGCCGCATACAATGGCATATAGTGTTATGAAACTAGCTTTATGTTTGTGCGTGATTTTAATTTTGCAAAATGAACTTGGTCATAAAGTTGATGGTCAGCGTAATCAGTGTAACGCCAGTGGTTTGAAACGGTTGGACGAATTGGTGGCAAAGTTCGTGACAATTGGCAACTCTGGCCGAAAGTTCCCGGAGTCTAAGGGACAGGCGTTGCAAAAATATTGCGAGTATATATATATTTGTTTTAAATTAGCTAGTTTAAAATAAAATAATTTTTTAGAATAGTTTTCCTGTTAATTTTAAGATAATTCTTTTATCTTTAATAGTATTATTTGTATAATTATAAATATTTAACTTACTGGTTTAATTAATTTGAATTTATCATTGATTTCAGAAATATAGAAATTAACGCTAATAGATAAGGTTAATGAAAGTAATTCATAATTAATTGTAATAGTTATAAAATACAATCATATTAAAAAATAGATCTAACAAAATGTAAGTCAAAATCATATGCTTTATACCCATAGCTACAATAATACTAAAATATTTCCAAATATTTCTTATACAGTAGTTTATAATTTAATATTTAAATTATTATTTTGATATGAATTTATTTATTTTAAATATTAATATTTTTATCATGATAATTATATAATACTCATTAAAAAACATTATTGACGGCCGTTCCAATAAAATATAAACAATACCTACAATAATGAAAATATAATTTTCAATATAAATATACAGTTTGTATTTATTAATAATATATTTAAAATATTTTTCAATAGCCAAGAGACCAAAACACTATCGGAAATTGAAAAGTACAAAAACAATTGTTTCCAAAATCTGAGCAAGCAAGTGTTTGGCATATACATCTACTCGTTTAAGGGGGTGATCCGAAATTTTTGCTCTAAAAAGGAGTCCAAGCGCCTGGATGAAATAATAGCGTGCACACCCTGTATGAATAAATACAGCAATGTCATTGGCAAATGTTACGACACTATTATTAATGAGTTATTGGGTGCTAAAAATGCACCAGAAAATAAACGCATACCCCACATGTGCTGGTACGTTTTTAAAAAATATATATAATTTTTTATACATAATCAAAAATATTTTAAAGTATATTACGTAATAATAGTTGCAAGTGAGTTTAATAAATATATTATTGTATAATTGCATGTTAATTAATTTATTGCAAACTGTATACACATACAATTATTAGCTTACTATAATAATTCAACAATTACAATACTAACTATGGGATCCCAAAAAGCCAATGTTACTAAAATAAGTCTATAAATTTACTGTTAATTTATTATAAGTTTGTAATCTACCATGTTTACTTTAATTACAGCGATTACCTAAAATACCTGAAATGCTGTGAGGATGGGTTAGCCGGCAAATGTGAGCCCAAACACATCGAGACTGGCATCTGGTTCACCAAAATGGTGTTCGGCGACGCTATTAACCTATTGTGCGGTGACTATACCGAGGAGTCCGATAAGTGCAGTAAACTAGGTCATTTTCAATTGTCTATTAATTTTTATTATTGTATTTTTATATTTAAATTTGTTTTTTAATTTTCTAGAAAAAACACCCAAAAAATTAAAGTCACAGAAACGTACAAGATCATTCGCATTACCGGCGCTGGCATTAATGGAATCGTTCAAAGAACTTTAAGCAAGATAAATTTTATTATGTATAAAAAAGTAGCGTGCATTATAATAAATGACATTTATTGTATTACATATATTTTAGCATGTTATATTACTGTAAATAAAATAATAATATTGTCAATATTAATTATTAATAATATATTTATTTTAATATGAGAGCACCTGGAGGTCAGGGCTCAAGTGAAGGTTATTAACGACACATACTTTCCTCAATAGTCCCGTATACTAATTGACAACACATTTAGTGGGAAACCAACTTTTTAGTCCACTTTTACTGCAATATAAATAAAAATATTTTCATAAAAAGACTTTTAATTAGTTTTTTGAACCAAACGTTAATTTATTGAAAACTTTTTTCCTACGAATTCATCAAAAATTTCATTTTCAATGTTATGTTAAGGTCTTGACAACTGTCTCCTCAATTAACATACCTGTGCTTTATATTAGTGATGAGCACTGGTATGCCAATGAAATACATTAACTGCACCGGGATGTCATTGAATTTTTTATATTCACTAAAAAATCAAGTTTTTTTGTAAATATTTTACACTTATTTATATAGCAAACAAAAACATACATCAGCAAATAAAAAGTTAATTAGACTAGTTAATTAAAAACATTTACTGTACACAATTTGACAGTGTCTGTATCATTTGTAAAAAATTAGCAATTAAAATTTATCTAGTTACTATGCAAAGGGTTTGGTTGACAATATTACTATTTTTGACATGTATATTTATTGGGGTGGTGCTGGGTCAGAAATGTGACGCAAATAATTTGCGCAAGGTTGATTTGAGTGTGGCCAGGATTATTACGATTGGAAACTCTGGGCGACAGTTCCCCGAGAATAAGGGGGTTGACCTGAAAAAGTATTGCTCGTGAGTATTATCACCATGTATATTTTTGTTCAAACTGTAATTAATGTTATTTCTATAGGAAGTATATTTTGAAAATATATTAAAATAATTAATTGGTTTATTATCCCTTGTTTTTTATCCATATCGTTTTAAAGTAACAAAATGATCACGATAAACTTTCTCAGTGTTTTAAATTAATTCTATTTTAATAATCATAAATATAACTAGGAACTAAGTACATTATTAAAATAATTAAATTATAAATGAGAATTTTAATATAAATTTAGTCTGGTGACTTATAGTTAATAATAATTTTTATTTATATTTTATTTTTAGGCAAAACTTAAATTATGTAAAAGATATCGAAAAGTATAAAAATAAATGCTTTAAGGGACTCACCAAACAAGTAGCCAGCATACTTATCTACTCGTTAAAGGTAACTTATTTGAGCTTTATAATAATTTTTAAAAATATATAGCACGCTAACTTTTGTACATTTCAGAACTCAATCGCCCAGTTATGTAGCAAAGAGTCCAAAAAGCTGGATGAGCTCATAGCCAGCACCAAATGTATCAATACGGCCACACCGGAAATCAACCGGT